GCCACTGTGCTATATCCCTGACCCAAAGAAAGGCTTTTATTAAATTAAAAAAAGAAAACTTGTGTTACCCTTATTTGCTGTGTTGAAGCTAAAAGTAAACAATGGAATTAACCCACTGTTCTGGGTTTGTATTGATTTTTATTTAATCATTACTTTAAAAAATGTGTTTATAGATGCATTTTCTAAATGGCACATTTTTGCCTGTTAATTCATTGTGTGTAAAAATTTATTTTTACCATCAGTAGTTTACTACTGAATTTTTAAACAGTAGTGGGCTTTTAGTGTTCTCAGTGATTATTAGAAGGTCATAATACTCTCTATACTTCAGGTGGTGAGAGCTCTAAACCGTTGTCTCCTTGTTAAAAATGTTTTTGTGCTTTCTTCAGTTATACTAATTTAATGTCCTTTCCTTTATGCTGTGTGGTAAGCTTGACCCTTGGGTTTTTGTTGTGATTTTATGTTAGTAACTTTTAGAAGTGGCTTCTGAAGGGTATGTTTACCTCATGGCCCACTGCTAGTTGAACTTGGTTTATTTTGACATTGGTTAGGCATACCTCAAAAGTGGGAAGTAATTTTCTAAGAATTCTTACTGTGAGGACTACAGCAGTGCTTTCTTTCTGTTTCCTGTTATCTCACTACTTACTTGAATAGAAAGGAGGAAAAGCCTTAAAGTAGGAATCCCTTTGGCACACTGCTACATTATTGTTCCTTTCTAGGGTATGATACAAAACCCTAAGGTTAAATTAAATGCAGAAAACTAGATTAACAAGTATTTGTTCTTTTTAAAATTTACATTTACACCAAATTAGGGGGAAAATGTGTTTTTTCATAATTCAGACTTGTTTTCCCCCCTCATCTCATCAATATAGATAATGCTGAGTTTGCAGCAGAGAGCACAGAAACGCACAAGTTACATCTTGCGGCTTGAAGAAATCAGTCCATGGTTGGCTGCCATGACAAACACTGAAATTGCTCTTCCTGGAGAAGTCTCAGCCAGAGATACGGTTACAATCCACAGTGTGGGTGGAACCATTACAATCTTACCAACTAAAACCAAGCCTAAGAAACTTCTCTTTCTAGGATCAGATGGAAAGAGCTACCCTTACCTTTTCAAAGGTAGAGTGTAAAACTTAACTCCTACTTTAAAATGTGTGTAGTCTTACAAGGTTTGTGTGTGTGTTAGAAGATTTTTTTTTTTTAATGTATTCAGTTCAGGGTCTTACCACACAGCTCAGACTTGTAGCAATCCTCTTGTTTTTATCCTGTTCAGTACAAGGATTACAGGCATGCACCACCACATCAGTACAAGGATTACAGGCATGTACCACCACACCTGCTCAAGTGGCCAGCTCATTATGCCTGGAGGCAGGGCCAGTGCAGCATGTGGTGCCAGGGATTGTACCACAGTCCTTGTGCTTGCTTAATCAGGTGCTTAGTACGCTGAGCTATGTCGCCAGCCCTTAGAGGAAAATTATGCATTATATTGCTACCTGGAGTGTCCTATATCATGTGTTATTTTGAATGCCAGTGGTTGGTTGTTGTGTAATAAGATTGCTATCTTCCCCTTGCATATAAACGTGTACAAGCGAAGCAACCCAGGTATACCTAGTAGTAATCCTTATATCTTGTCCCTTGATAGAATTCTCTGATGCTGTTAAGTGTACTGAGTTGGGTTATCACTAGTTGAAAAAGACAGAGAAAGTGTCTTACCCACATTTAGTCACCTACCCTGACATCTTCAATATTGTTTTCATAGGACTAGAGGATTTACATCTGGATGAGAGAATAATGCAGTTCTTATCTATCGTGAATACTATGTTTGCTACAATTAATCGGCAGGAAACACCCCGTTTTCATGCAAGACACTATTCTGTGACACCACTGGGAACAAGGTCAGGACTGATCCAGTGGGTGGATGGAGCCACACCCTTATTTGGTCTTTACAAACGGTGGCAACAACGGGAAGCTGCCTTACAAGCACAAAAGGTTGAGTAAAATAAAAATATGCATTTTTTTATTTGAGTGCTTATATCCATTTTCTGCATGGCTATGTGAACTATTTCTAGACTTTACTAGAACATTTTTGCTTGTTTATGGAGGTTAAAGTAGGAAAACATACAATGTCACTAGGAAAGTGCTTTTGAGGCACATTTTCCAAAAATACAAATTGAGGCAGAAATTATGAGATTGGGTTAATGGGAGATGTGTTACTTTTTTTTTTTTTTTTTCCTTTTTCTTGTGGTATCAGGGATTGAACTCAGGACCTTGTGCTTGCCAGGCAGACACTTATTCTACTGAGCTATCCACCCTGGCTGGGAGATGTGTTTGTTACTCAGTAACGTTTTTAGTATAATTTGATACTTCCTAATGTTCTTATTGCACTAGGTCTTTTAAGTTAAGTTTACTGTAAATAATAGAAAACTTTAAACCCTGGTTTACCCCCAGCCTTCACACTGAGCTATGCCTATGTCATCTTCTTTTTGGGAGACAAGGACTTGTTAAATTGCTAGGGTAGGATTTGAACTTGAGGTTCTTCTGCCTCAACCTCTCAAAGTGCTGAGATTATGGATGTCTACCTCAACTTTAAGCTCCTGAGTCCTTTTACATATATAAATAAGTATTGTAAATGTAGAGTTTAATCATCATGACATCGTATTTTGTACCTATAAATTTTATACTGTACTCTTATATAGTAATTTATAATTTATTTAGGCAAGTACCTGAATAATTTATAGTATGTAAATGATGAACTTAGAATTCAGTTAGCCAAAATACTAAATGTTAATAATATTAAGATAAAATGTTGGGCTGAGGAGATAGCTCAGTGGAATAAGTGCTTGCCTGGCAAGCTCAAGGTCCTGAGTTCTATCCCAGGTACCACCGAAAAAAAAGATAAAATGTTAACTTTTTTATTGTCCCAAACCTGGCTGGCTAATACAGAGAAATGCTTCTAGTCAGGATTAGTTACAGGAAAGACCAAGAGTGTGAAAGGAGTCAAGTTTTATTCTTGTGATGCTGAAGATTTAACTGAGGGTATCATGCATCTTAAACCTACTCTTTACCATGAAGGTAGGAGTTATATTTCACATGTAGGCACAGAAACCCGCAGAATAATTATTGACGTATAAAGGTACGAATCCGAGAAGGGTTATCTAACCTTCGGTACAACACATTTCTCCTGTCTGTTGTTACTTTCGCATCGGTGATTAAGCCACTAGTGAAGAGTGAAATGCACTTAAGTAAATTAGGAATTACGGAATCGAATCTCAAGAATTCAGCGACTGACCATTTTTTCCGTTAAGTAGTACTTACTTAAAAGAGAATAAAGCAAGTTGTAAGAAGTACCTAGTTCAAAAGACTTGACTGTTTTTACTTGAAATTTATCTCAGTAAAATAAAAGAGTAGAAAAAAAGAAAGAAAAGTGTGCTATAATTGTAATTCAACATGGACAGTGTATATAAAAATGTACCTTTATATAGTAATATTGTTGTCTTTTTGTATGTTTTTTGGCCTGTTAGTCTCATTGCTAATCTGTATTTATGAGAACTTTATGAGGGCTTAGACAGCACATAAATGATGCTGGTGAGGAAGAGGGGGAGAAATGGGAAATAAAAGAATTTAGATGTGTTATGTACATGTAACAATTCCCCATAATGGATGAAGTCATTGCTGCAACCATGTACTAATAAAAATGAAGAAACCCTGTATTTAGTTGGGTAGGCAGAGAGTTCTGTTGAAAAGTCATTTGTGTAAAATGGTATTTTACATCAAGCATGGCGATCACATGTCCTGTAATCCCAGGATAAGAAGTTTAAGATCAGCCTAGGCAACTTGGCAAGACTGCCTCCAAAAGGATTGGGCGAGCCAGGCATGATGGTGCACACCTGTAACCCTAGCACTTGGGAGTTCAGGCCAGCTCAGGCTACAAATCAAGACCCTGTCTCAAAAACCAAAACAAAGCAAAACAACAAAGAAAAGGACTGGGGATGTAGCTCAGCTTTCTTCAGTCCTCATTGCCAGTTAATGTTTATTTGTTTATTTTGCCAGCTCGTCCTACCCTGCCTACCCTGAGGGTGGGGCTGGCCCTTATGTGGTACCAGGAATCGAACCATGGTCCTCTGAACCTACCTAAGCTTACCTAAGCTTGCCTAAGCAGGCGCTTCAGAACACTGAGCTATCTCGCCAGCCCAACGCCAGTTAATCTTTAATGCATAAATAAGTCTACTCATGCATGCCTAGAATTTAGCATTTACATTAATCTTTATTTAAAATTTTTTTGAAGGCCCAGGATTCCTACCAGACTCCTCAGAATCCTGGAATTGTACCCCGTCCAAGTGAACTTTATTATAGTAAAATTGGTCCTGCTCTGAAGACAGTTGGACTCAGCCTGGATGTGTCCCGCCGGGATTGGCCCCTCCATGTGATGAAAGCAGTTTTAGAGGAATTAATGGAGGCCACTCCCCCGAATCTCCTGGCCAAAGAGCTCTGGTCATCTTGTACAACACCGGACGAATGGTGGAGAGTCACACAGGTTAGGAGGCAGTATAGTTTGGACTGTTCCTTCTTGCTGATCTAGTTCAGACTTCTTATCCTGCATCCCTCGTTTTAGTACTTTGAAACCTGCATTTAAAAATTTCACCTTAGTTACAGAGGTATAGGCATGACTGTCAAAGGGCAAGATCAAAGGGGTAGTAGGTAAAATGGAGAAGAGAGTAAAACATTTAGGGAAAAAATGAGGGAGGCTAAAGGAAAGTCAGTTTAATGCACAACTAGAACCATGTAGGATTCCCGTGTATGTGCAGAGCCTATGTGACCCTCAGGAATCCTTTCTGTTTATTTTTAAATAAGGGATCAGGATTTTGGAATTTTGTAAATTTTAAGGCATCAAATCCATGTTGGCAAGAAATGTGCTGACAGTATTTAACTTGCTCCTTTCACCTCTTTAGTCTTATGCAAGATCTACAGCAGTCATGTCTATGGTTGGATACATAATTGGCCTTGGAGATAGACATCTAGACAATGTTCTCATAGATATGACGACTGGAGAAGTGGTTCACATAGATTACAATGTTTGTTTTGAAAAAGGTAAAAGTAAATTTTGCATTTATATGAGGGTCAAAAGGTTTTTAATGAAAGGGCAAAAATACAATGATTTGTCTTTTGAAGGTAAAAGCCTTAGAGTTCCTGAGAAAGTACCATTTCGAATGACACAAAACATTGAAACAGCACTGGGTGTAACTGGAGTAGAAGGTGTTTTTAGGCTTTCCTGTGAACAGGTATGCAGTTTTCTCTTCTACTTCATAGTGGATGTATTAAAAGAACAAAACCTGTGGAATAAAAAGTTATTTTATAAGATGAAATATGTAGCAAAACATTTACAACTTTTCTGAAAACAGGTTCTGCACATTATGCGGCGTGGTAGAGAGACTCTGTTGACGTTATTGGAGGCCTTCGTGTATGATCCTTTGGTGGACTGGACAGCGGGGGGCGAGGTGGGGTTTGCTGGCGCTGTCTATGGCGGAGGTGGCCAGCAGGCTGAGAGCAAGCAGAGCAAGAGAGAGATGGAGCGAGAGATCACCCGCAGCCTCTTTTCTTCCAGAGTAGCTGAAATTAAGGTGAAGCCTAGTGCTGTAATTAACTCATCATTTTCATTGAATAAAACTTAACTCTTAATTTTTTGGGGGGTGGGCTGGGTATGGTGGTATATGACTGTAATACTAGAACTTAAAAAGGCTGAGGCAGAATGATTTTCATGAGTTGAACACCAGCCGGAATTGCATAGCAAGATCCTGTTTCAAGAACAAAGAAAAAAATAATTTATAATATTGAAATGACCATTAAATAGGGAAATTTGGTATCACCTTTTTTATTTGGCAAACCTCCCTTACAGAGACACACAGTTATACTCAACATTTAAAGAAAATTATGTACAAGTCTGGGCATGGTGGCACGTGACCGTAATCCCAGCTCTGGGGAGGCTGAAAACAGGAGTATCACTATGAGTACAAGCTGCATAGTGAGACCCTGTACCAAATACATAAATGAAAAGACAATTTTTTTTTAGAATTTTTTATTTTTAAAGAGAGTATAAAAAATAGCAATCCGGGTGAAGTTAAAAATTCACTATAAAGAATTACAAGAATTCAGCAGTAGTTGTTATATTGCATATTGTTGTCTTTAGATACGTTGTTCAGATTACCAGATATAAACCTGTGAAATTAGTCAGAAAAATACAGCAGTTAATGCTTATAGTTTTTTTTCTCCTTTTTATTTCTCATACTCACATTTATAGGAGGTAGATTAATGATCAGAAAAAAATTGTAGGGGCTGGGGAGATGGCTCAGTGGAATAAGCACTTCCCTGGCAAGTGCAAGGGGCTGAGTTCAATCCCAGGTTCTACCAAAAAAAAAAAAAAAAATTGTAATTTTGAAATATTTTGAAATGTATTTGAAAATTTTTCTTGGGCTGGCCAGATAGCTCAGTGGACTAAAGCACCTGTTTAGGCAGAGCACAGGGACTGGAGTTCGATCCTTGGTGTCCTATGGTGGCATGTGCCTGTAATCCCAGCGTTTGTGAGGCTGAAAAACAGGAGGATCACTATGAGTCTGATCTGCATAGTGAGACCCTATAGACCCTGTACACCCTGTACTAAATACATTAAAAAATAAATAAAACATTTTCTCAGTGAATAACCTTCCCTCCCTGTAGCCAAAGATGCATGTCTTATTCTGTATGTTAAATGGTGGCAACTTCATGGTATTGTGGAACTGAGTCTTCCAGTTTATGGCCATATGAACTTGAATGTATAGGTTGTCTCTGTAAAATGAGGGTGATGCTTTCAGGTTTTTTTGAAATTTAGGTAAAATAATTCATTCAGAGTATTCTTACATGGATCAGTGTGTCTTAGAGTAGACCCCGTGAGAACCTTACAATACTGTTTTATAGTATTGTACATTTAACTACCTTCCTGAGCATCCTCTGTGTTAAGGTTCATTCACTTAAATTGATCTAGGTGAGTGTTTTAGTAAAACTTCTGCAAAGTAAATGAAACAACTGCCCTTGTTCCACTGTTTTATAGGTGAACTGGTTTAAAAACAGAGATGAGATGCTGGTTGTGCTTCCCAAACTGGACAGCAGCTTAGATGAATACCTAAGCTTGCAGGAGCAACTGACAGATGTCGAAAAACTTCAGGGAAAACTGTTGGAGGAAATAGAATTTCTAGAAGGAGCTGAAGGAGTGGATCATCCCTCTCACACTCTGCAACACAGGTTTAAAACAGCACTGAATTCTTGTTTCTCGATATATGCCATTAAAGAGAATGTTTGTGTTTATGTAAACATGATATCCTTGGCTTTGAAGTATTATAGCAGCTCAAAAAACTGATAAAAGTTGCCTTGAGTTCAGATTTAAAGTGATAACTTAAAATTGTTGATCTATTGTATTCGACTTAAATGTGTAACCAATTATGGGGAGATAGGTGGGTGTAATGGTTAGAACATTTAAGAGTCATAAAATCTGAGGTTTTATTTTCCTTATACATTCGTATCTGAACCCTTATTCAAGGGATGGGGAGATAGCTCAGTAGAATAAGCACTTGCCTGACAAGTGGAAGGTTCTGAGTTCAATCCCCAGTACCACAAAAAAAAGAATGCTGAACCTTTATTCATTGGAACGAGGGCAGTTGTTTCATTTACTTTGCAGAAGTTTTAATAAAACACTCACCTAGATCAATTTAAGTGAATGAACCTTAACACAGAGGATGCTCAGGAAGGTAGTTAAATGTACACTTGCCAAGCAGTAAGAGAGACAATCAGCCTGCAAAGACCTGTTAAACATTTAAGGAACTCTGAACCTGGTAGTTGGATAGTTGGGAGTATCATATAGGGGCTTACAGGGCCAGGAAAACTCTAGGGGACTAAAGGACATTTGAGTACAACACTGAAAATTGAAATGGATGGAGCTAACCAGCCAGTCCACATCTGAGCAAAGTCCAGGTGTTTAAGTATATGAAATAAAGTGTAGCAAGTGACCTTCAGATTTGTTGTTTCCTTGATTAGGTATTCTGAACATACTCAGCTACAAACTCAGCAAAGAGCTGTTCAAGAAGCAATCCAGGTGAAGTTAAATGAATTTGAACAGTGGATAACGCATTATCAGGCTGCATTCAGTAATTTAGAAGCGACACAGCTTGCAAGCTTGCTTCAGGAGATAAGCACACAAATGGACCTTGGTATGGGCTGACATATTTTAGATAACGTATGTGAGCATGTGGGTTCTATGTTTATGTGTGGCGTTCTGGTTTGAACACCCTTTGACTGCTAATTTGAAATGGACATCACTGTAATTAATACTGTCTTTTATCAAAAGGTCCCCCAAGCTATGTGCCAGCAACAGCCTTTCTTCAGAATGCTGGGCAGGCCCACTTGATCAGTCAGTGTGAGCAACTGGAGGGGGAAGTTAGTGCCCTTCTGCAGCAGAGACGCTCAGTGCTCCGTGGCTGTCTAGAACAGCTGCATCACTATGCAACTGTTGCACTGCAGTATCCAAAAGCCATTTTTCAGAAACATCGAATTGAACAGTGGAAGACCTGGATGGAAGAGCTTATCTGTAATACCACAGTAGAGCGCTGTCAAGAACTTTATAGGAAGTAAGTTGCTAATGTTTAATTTTCTTTCTAACTCATTTAGGATGAAAGCAAAGTTGTGGTCAATTTTTATAGTTGTGTTCTATTCTTAAGTGGTTAATAGATGAAATTGGCATGGAGTTACTTTTGTCTTTTTAAATTTTTTTTAAAAATATCTTTATTTGTGCTATAGGGTCTCGCTACGCAGCTCGGATTCATAGTGACTCTCCTATCTCAGTCTCCCCAGTGGTAGGATTACAGGCGTGTGCTACCGTGCCTGGTTCTGGGGCCAGAACAGTATGTAGTACCAGGGATCAAACCTGGATCCTTGAGCTTGCCAGCCAGGCTCTTACACCACCAGGCTATTTCCCCAGCCAACTTTCGTCTTTTAAAAGGAGTTCCTGATTTCCTTTATAAAATACTGTATTTTTCCCAATAGGCTCTCGGGAGTTGTGGGTACAAATCAATGATCTTAGCAAGTTCCTTAAGCTTGAGACTTTTTTTTTTTTTTTTTTGGTTCGGAACCAGGGATTGAACTCAGGCCCTTGTGGCTTATTTCACCGAGCCATCTTCCCGGCCCCTACCTTGAGACTTTTGAGAAAATGAAATGAGTCCTAGTCTGAGTATAAAACATAATTTTCTCCTCTAAGCATGAGCCTTAATTATAATCACGAAAGTTAGTGTTTTAAGCAAGCACCTCTTTCTTCTGTAGATATGAAATGCAATATGCTCCCCAGCCACCACCAACAGTATGTCAGTTCATTACTGCCACTGAAATGACCCTGCAACGATACGCAGCAGACATAAACAACAGACTTATTAGACAGGTGGAACGCTTGAAACAAGAAGCTGTTACTGTGCCAGTTTGTGAAGATCAGTTAAAAGAAATTGAACGTTGTATTAAAGTATTTCTTCATGAGAATGGAGAAGAAGGATCTTTGAGTCTAGCAAGTGTCATTATTTCTGCCCTCTGTACTCTTACAAGGTGAGCTAGTTAACATCATATTGAAGAGGGGCTGGGGAGATGGCTCAGTAGAATAAGCACTTGCCTGGCAAGTGCGAGGACCTGAGTTCAATCCCCAGTTCCACCAAAAAAAAAAAAGAAAAGAAATCATACTGAAGAGCATCATTGTCAAAAGTGTTGGGGCTCATTGATAATGTGTTCTTATTTTTAATGCCAAATTTGAGATACTGTTTTTACTTTCCTTAGTTCTGCCCCATATATACTTGCTTTTTTTTCCTTCAGAATTTGAAGTTTCCTTTGTTGTATATGTGCCTGTGTCACCATCCAAGTCACTGTAACAAGTATTTATCTCCTTTAGGCGTAATCTGATGATGGAAGGTGCAGCTTCAAGTGCTGGAGAACAGCTGGTTGATCTGACTTCTCGAGATGGAGCCTGGTTTTTGGAGGAGCTCTGTAGTATGAGTGGAAATGTCACCTGCTTGGTTCAGTTACTGAAGCAGTGCCACCTAGTGCCTCAGGATTTAGATATCCCAAACCCTGTGGAAACATCTGAAGCAGTTCACTTAGCCAATGGAGTATACACCTCACTGCAGGTAAGCACGTTAATGTTGAAATTTTACAGGTTTTAGACATTGACCATTCTCTTTCTCCTATCTTTAATCCAAAAGAAAAATTTAATTTTCACCTTTGAATGTTACTTAAGCAATTAATGTGACATTAACTTTGTAATCATAACTTGGTTATTATTGTATAGGTTGTTTTTTAATTTATGGCATTAAGTCTCCAATTGTATAACTCACCTAAAGTCAGAAAACATTAAAATATTTCTCATATTAATAGGAATTGAATTCAAATTTCCGGCAAATCATATTTCCAGAAGCACTTAGATGTTTAATGAAAGGGGAATACACCTTAGAAAGTATGCTTCATGAATTGGACAATCTCATTGAGCAGACAACTGATGGCATTCCCCTGCAAACTCTAGTTGAATCTCTTCAAGCCTATTTAAGAAATGCAGCTATGGGACTTGAAGAAGAAACACATGCTCATTATATTGACGTTGCCAGGTAAGTGCATGCTAGCTATGCTTTTTATCCTCACGAAAGAGGGGATAGCCAGGTATAGAGATTCTGTGCTCTAACATCAAGCTTACTTTTCATTTTTAGATCAGCTATACCTGGGCGTGTTGGTACATGCCTGTAATTCCAGAACTCAAGAGGTTGAGGCAGGAGGATTGTTCCGAGTTCTAGACCCACTTGGGCTACATAGAGAGCTCAAGGCTAACCTGAACTGCATAGCAAGACTCTCTTTCAAAAAGACAAAAAAAAAAAAAAAAAAAGATGAGATATTTATACCTTTAAAACTATAGTTAGATCCACTGGAAATTGTACTCTTCAGCCTGCATCTGGTATTAACATCTGGCTTGCTTATGGTGCAGAAGCAATATGTGAAACAGGTAGTAGCAATGCCATCAGTAAGAACACAGACTGTTCCTGCCATGCTTTTGTATACATACTTTTTTTTTTTTTTTTTTTTTTCTGCTGTTGCTACACATGGGTTTTAACGCAGTTCTGTATAATACTTTTTTAGTCAGCACTGGGAACTGTAAAGACATAAGACAGTTTACTTAACTAAAGGTACATGCATCTTAACTTAGGTGAATGCTTTTAAATTAGCTTAGAGTTTATCAATTTCTTTTAGATATTGAACACTATATGTATTTCTTAGATCTAATGCAGAAGAGCAGTTTGACTTTGGAACTTGTTGAGATTAAGTAGTTCCTCTAGATAGGCATTGTGCCTGTAGCTTTATCCCTCATGACTCAGGACCTCTTTTCTTTGGCATTTCATAACTACAAAGGTAAAATTGAGTACAAAAGACCTATCCCGCTGTTTTATCTCATAGAGCATTTTAACAATACAAAATAAAAATGATAGTATAATAAATCCCATTTTAACACTTTGGTTTTTATCTGCACTTGGTTGGTTTTGTAGCTTAGATTGTTTTCAAGGGTTTTAAAAAATTCTTTTCTTTTTGTATTTTTAAGGAAGAGTCTATAGGATGTTTAGGGTCTCACTACATAGATCAGTCTCATAGTTACCCGCCTGTTTGCAGCCTCCCAAGAGCTGGGATTACAGGCATGCGTGCCACCATGCCCAGTCTTAATTGCCATCTCAGTGTGCCCTGGGGGCCCAGGGATTGAACACCCTGCCCCTGTGCCTGCTAATCCGCTGAGCTATTTGGCTGGCCTAAAATTCTTAAATAATACAGGAAAGATGAAATATTAACTTTTTTGGTGGTAGTGTACTAAAAGTTGAACCCAGGGCCTGTTCATTGAGCTTCCTCTTCAGCCATTTTCATTTTTGTATTTTGAGAATGGTTTTTCTAGGTCCCTGGAGTTGTCCAGGCTGAGCTTAAATCTGTGATCATTTTGCTTCAGCCTCCTAGAGTGCTAGAATTAATAGGTGTGTGCCGCCATGCCTGGCTTAAATTAGAAGTTCCTAAACTGCTTTAGAAAGGGGCAAGAATGATAGGATAGGGCTGGTGAGATGGCTCCGTGGTCTAAAGCACCTACTTAGAACAAGCTTAACAAAGCAAAGGGACCGCGGTTCAATCCCCCAGCACCACATGCCAGCCAGCCCTGCCCCCTGGTGGGCTGAGCTGGCCACACACACACACACACACACACACACACACACACACATAAAATTTAAAAAAAAAAGAATGATAGGATAAATGTGTCCAAAGCAGAGGGACTATTTTGAGAGGGTTAATGGCACCATGTCATATAGCAGTAAATCTTTACAATTTAAGTCAGGTGTAGCTATGCATTCTTGTAACCCCAGCATTTCGGAGGCTAAAGCAGGAAGATTGCCATGAATTTGAGGTCAGCTTTTGCGACATAGTGAACTTAAGGCCAGCCTGAACTATGTGGTGAGACCCTGTCTCCACTGTACCCCCCCCGAGAAAAACCCTGTAATTTAAACATTTACTGTATTTTTGATCACAACTTTACAGTAAGAATATTATAGCATGAGCAGTTATCAGCCAAATAGTGATTTTGACTAGTATAACATCTTTACCATTTTCAGCAAAAGTTCAAAAAGTTAAATGCTAAATCTGCATATTTTTCTTTCACACACGTTGCAGTCTTCATTTTAATCTGCTTTTGTTGAGGTTGCCATACTCATAGACATGATTAATAAGTGCTTTGGATGACAAGTTTCATGCCTTGTTCTGTATTAGCCTATCTGTACCTTGTTTCAGAGAAACGTTTTCTGTTTAAGGAAAATTTTGTATCATCTTGGAGCTCTTTTTCACTTTTTTAGTTCTAGCTATTTGGAATGACTTATCTGTGTGTGGAAAATAAAGTAATTCTAGTGTACCTTAGTTTTATTGATAGTAATCATAAGTACTGAGAATGAATTTTATTTTTTGCTTTTTACATAAAATGTTGAGTTACTGTCTGGGTACATATGTGCTATATGAGTCTTCTGTTTATATTAATATAAGGAGTGAAAGTAAATTTATGACAACCTTATATTCAAAATGTACAATTTAAAATTAAATATTCCCATAATGATATTTATTCTTCCACAGATGGTTCTACCATGTGGCTGTGGTTCCAATATATCTTAACAGTTTGGTTCACCAGCATTAAAATTGTTGTTATTGACATTTACTTGTTGGTTTGTGGGTTTGTATTATTTTATATTTGTAATATAAAGTGAATAATTTAGTGATCTTTAAAAAAGAATGTCATAGTACAAGAGTACATAAAATGTAATGATATGAACAATTACTTACACTGATTGCAATTGACACTAAATGCCATTATATCACAGCACTTTTTTTTTTTTTAATTTAATTATTTATGGGGGGGGGCAGCTCAGCCCACCAGGGGGCGGGGCTGGCTGGCATGTGGTGCTGGGGGATTGAACCGTGGTCCCTGTGCTTTGCTAAGCTTGTTCTAAGTAGGTGCTTTAGACCACTGAGCCATCTCACCAGCCCCACAGCACTCTTCTTAATACCTGAAGATTTTTGTTGACTGTGCACACTAGCTCTGAGCTGACTGACCTTTTGTTTTCCCCCAAAGTACATTTCTTTTGACGGTTTTAGCTCCTTTTTCTTTTTCTCTAGAATACTGCATGCTCAATATGGCGAGTTAATCCAGCCAAGAAATGGTTCAGTTGATGAAACACCAAAAATGTCAGCTGGCCAGATGCTTTTGGTAGCATTTGATGGCATGTTTGCACAAGTTGAAACCGCTTTTGGCTTATTAGTTGAAAAGGTAAGTATTGATTTGGTTCTATGGGTAATGTAAATGACTGGGTTTGGTGTGTGAACAGTGAAGTAATGAACATTCTTTTGTCTTATTTATATAGTTAAACAAGATGGAAATTCCTGTAGCTTGGCGAAAGATCGACATCATACGGGAAGCTAGAAGTACCCAAGTTAATTTTTTTGATGATGACAACCACCGACAGGTACTAGAAGAGATTTTCTTTCTAAAAAGATTACAGACAATTAAGGAGTTCTTCAGACTCTGTGGTACCTTTTCAAAAACATTGTCAGGTAAGTACTCTTTAAATATGCAGGATTTAAGTACTTCGGAAGGAGGAATGATGGAGTAGGCTTCATTTAACTGTACATTTGTGAAGTCTCAAGTGCTTTAAATAAACAGTGTTGTTATCTTAGTTTTGCATGAAATACTTTAAGAATTTCCATTTTTAGGATCAAGTTCACTTGAAGACCAGAATACAGTGAATGGACCTGTACAGATTGTCAATGTGAAAACTCTTTTTAGAAACTCTTGTTTCAGTGAAGACCAAATGGCCAAGCCTATCAAGGCCTTCACAGCTGACTTTGTAAGGCAACTTTTAATAGGACTACCCAACCAAGCCCTTGGACTCACCTTGTGCAGCTTTATTAGTGCCTTGGGTGTAGACATCATCGCTCAAGTAGAGGCAAAGGACTTTGGTGCAGAAAGCAAAGTTTCTGTTGATGATCTATGTAAGAAGGCGGTAGAACACAACATCCAGATTGGAAAGTTCTCTCAGTTGGTCATGAATAGGGCAACTGTGCTAGCGAGTTCTTACGACACTGCCTGGAAGAAGCATGACCTGGTGCGTAGACTGGAAACCAGCATTTCTTCCTGTAAGACAAGCCTGCAGCGGGTGCAGCTGCATATTGCCATGTTTCAGGTCAGTACTTTGCTTTATATTGTGTTTCTACTATTAGACGAATACAAAAAAGAGAAACATTTACACTTGTTCAACTATGCCCATCCAGAGCAAAACCCACTATTAGCATTTTAGACCTTTCCTTACTCCTTGTGTCTCTTCTATATAGTTGAGATCATTTCATATTTACAGTTTTTGTCCTTTGAATTTGTTTCTGTCAGGTCTACATGATAAATATTGTCCATGTCATAGAGTTCATGTCAAGTGTTCATGAATGTAACATTTAATGGTTCACTTTATTATGTACACAGCTTCCTGTATTATTATTTCTAGAGTAATTCTTTTCCTTATTTGTAAAGTGGGGCAGTACCTCTCAGTATGATTGCAAGGGTTAAATAATAATGACTTTTGTGAGATACAAAGCACAATATCATAAATACAGCTGTTTTTCTTTTTAAATATAGGCTTCCGTGTTATCACTGACTTCAAACAAATTGTAAGGCTTAGGATAATTGGGGAGATACAATTTTGGAAATCTGTGTTGACACAGTGGCTACTTTGTTTCACTTATGTTAAAGCTATTCCCCAACATTGAACTTACTGGTTTAAGTTTAGCATGTTACCAGTGTATTTCTCTTTTTAGTTTTATTTATTTTATTTATTTATTTATTTTTAGTTTTATTTTTAACTGTTTCTATATCTTGCATGCTAAGTAATTTATTCCAAATTCTGAAACTGTATTCCTACTTGGTATTTGGTGGAGTATATTTTACTACTTACAAAAGCTCTTTAATGCTGTCAAGTTTCATGTACTTTGAAGGTCATTCCCTTAAAAATGGACAGTGTTGGGAGCCAGGGAGATAGCTCAGTAGAATAAGAACTTAAGCGCAAGGGCCTGAGTTTAGTCCCCGGCTTTGGGGGAAAAAAGCAACAACAACAAAGAAAAAAAAATGCAAAAATTGACAGTGTTCTGGAAATGATGGTAGAAGTCTTTTTTGGAAACCAGATGTGGTAGCATATGGCTCTAATCCCAGTATTTAGGAGGATGTTGAGGCAGGATGATCACCATAAGTTACAGGATGTGAACTATGTAGTGAGACCTGTCTCAAAAAAGAAAAATTCTTTTTGAGAGTCCTTTTCCTGTGACTGTCACCATTGTTTCCTTAAGTGTTCTACTCATTCTACACACTGGAAATTCCCTTTCTTCAGGCCCACTGCGATTGATTATGTGGGGGTGGAGTTACTAAACTGTTGTACATACAGAACACTTTCAGAATTGCTGTTTAAATGTTACATATAGAGGCTGGGGAGATGACTCAGTAGAATAAGTGCTTGCCTGGCAAGCGCAAGGGTCTGAGTTCAATCCCCGGTTCCACTAAATAAATAATGAATAAATGTATGTATGTATGTATGTATGTATGTATGTATGTTACATATTAATGATCAAAGACATTTACCAGCCATTGTTGACCTCAAGGAAGCTTTTGCTTGAATGAGTCTTCTGTAACATTTTTCTTATTACTTCTACTTGTGTCACATCTCCTTGTCTGCAAACAACTGAGCTTTTCCTTTTCCTCAAATCTTTATAACTTCCCTGTTGGTATTTTCTCTGCTGATATTTTTACTTTTCTTTTTCTTTGAACAGTGGCAACATGAAGACCTACTTATCAGTAGACCACAAGCCATGTCAGTCACACCTCCCCCTAGGTCTGCTATCCTAGCCAGCATGAAAAAGAAACTACATACTTTGAGTCAGATTGAAACTTCAATTGCATCTGTTCAGGTATGTTTTGTCAAATTTTCCTTCCTTTATCTTACTTAGAGAAATGAGTTACACTTTGAGCATTAGTGTTTTTCAGTATATCGGTGTATCCTTAGCTTTTAAGCCAGAAGCACACAATCCTTTTTCACTTTTAAATTTACAGTTTTTATTTTTTATGTTCCAAGGTAACAGAATCTTAGAGTAAAAATATTTTCAACCAAAAATAGGAACATACTAAGTATTTCAAGTCTGTAATGAATTTGATATTTGCTTTGTCTTTATACATTAAGGGAGTGTTAGTTATTGGGGGGGCTAACATTTGTTTACTGAAAAATGTATATGAGTAGTTATTATCTGGTTATTACTCTCTGAGAAGCTTGGGCATTACTTCCTTCTGTCATGTAGATAATACCATAATTTTAAGTTAGAGAAACTGATCTTGAAGATTTTGTGTATATCATTTTAAAAGAATGAACTCTAGGGGCTGGGAAGATGGCTAAGTAGAATAAGTGCTTCTCTGGCAAGTGCAAGGGCCTGAATTCAATCCCTGGTTCTGCCAAAAAAAAAAAAAAAAAAAGAATGAACTCTGGCCATTTCTGTCTTTAGAGGTATGTGCATGTGGCTAGTGGCAGGGCAAAAGGGAGTGTGAATACCTCCACCTGAAATAGTGAATAAATAATAAAATAGCTTTGTATAAAACTTCAACTTCTTATCATGATAATCTGAGTTTTTAATATAAGCCTGCAAGTTTGTGAAAATCTGATTTTTATCTTTCATAATCAAAAGTATATTTTCCATGGGCCAGCCAAATAGCAGATGGGGGCTAGGAGTTCAATCCCCAGTCCTACCTTGCTGGCCCCACCCTCCCTGAGGGGGGTGGTGCCCTGAGCCAGAATTGAGACTGGGTGTGGTGCTGTGTACCTGTAATCCCAGCTTTTGGGAGGCTGTAAACAGGTGGATCACTATGAGTCCGATCTAGTAGTGAGACTCTGAGCACCCTATAGACCCTTCCCTAAAAAAAAAGTAAATAAATAAACAAATTTCCATGTAGTACATACAGCTCAGTAAGAATATGGTGTAGCAAATGTGTTGGTTTTTATCCAGGACATTGCATTCTACCACTAAGCCATCCCTGTCATGTTTAGGTGTGTTTTGCTTTTGTTGGTTTGTTTGGTTTGGTATGGTTTTGAGACAGGGTCTCACTAGTTCAGGCTAGTTTTGAACTCTTTAGGTCCCTAGGCTGACTTTCAACTTGTGGTGATCCTCCTGCCTCCATGTCCTAGGATTATAGGTTTGTGCACCAGTGCCTGGCCTTGTTTTGGTTGTTTAAAAAAGACTTTTATTTAAATATGGAAATGAAACTGCATTACAAAAATGATTTTTAGAAAAACTACATAAACCTTTGCTGCCCCAGATTTTAACAGTCCACTGAAAGCCAAGTTTTTCCTTGCCAGACATGTTTGGTTTTGAGCTATTCAAAGTGAACCAGGCATAGGAACACACATTTGGGAGGCTGAGCCAGGTCATCCCAGGCTACATTGTGAGTTTAGGGGCTGGCTTGGACTACACATGGTGAGACCCTGTCTTTAAAAAAATAAATAAATAAACAAAATAATAATAATAATGGGGCTGGCGAGATGGCTCAGTGGTCTAAAGCACCTACTTGGAACAAGCTTGACAAAGCACAGGGACCGCGGTTCAATCCCCCAGCACCACATGCCAGCCAGCCCCGCCCCCTGGTGGGCTGAGCTGGTCACACACACACTAAATAAATAAATAAATGTTTAAAAATGATGATGATGATGATGATGATGATGATGATGATGATGATGATGATGATGATGATGATGATGATGATGATGAAAGTTTAACCCGAATTCCAAAAAGATGTTGTTAAAGATGTTTTCTGAGTTATACATGCTTCACCTTGCTTCTTTTGAATTTTTCTTGTATTACAAAATGCTTGGCAGATAGGAAATGGAGAATGTAATAAAATATTCACAGAGATTCAACTGACTTTTATAGGAGAAGCTAGCAGCACTTGAATCAAGTATTGAGCAGCGACTAAAGTGGGCTGGTGGTGCCAACCCTGCATTGGCACCTGTACTGCAAGATTTTGAAGCAACAATTGCTGAAAGAAGAAATCTTGTCCTCAAAGAGAGCCAGAGGGCAAGTCAGGTACAGTTAACATGTATACATGAACCTCTTTGTATTTAGCTTCAGGATGGGGGTGGGCAGGTAGGTGAATGCTGGCCTGACAGGCCTTTCTGAGCATTCCTTAGGCTGGTGATTTCCCTAGACCCTTTTTGTCACCGATTAAATATAAGTGGTTTTGACCTTTGTTGAAAAATAGTTTTAATTTCTTATTTAAGGTTCTTTCATATATAATTAAAGTGATATAAAAAGTTGAAGTTATTTTCACATGGCAGTAAAATATTTTAGGACTTTGTAGTCTACCACAAGTTGTGGATAAACTTTGTTGTGGCATGGAGGGAGTAGGTACCTAAAAACTGTTACGGGAATTTTCAGATACAAAATTAGACCAATCACCAAAGCTTAGTAATTTTCCTTTTGGGTTGTTTTGTTTTTTTGCAGTACCAGGGATTACACTCAGGATCTTGCACTTGTCAGGCAGGTGCTTAAGCTGCTGAGTTATCTCCCGGGCCTTTTCTTTCTGTTTTAAAATGTATTTGTTTTTTAGTCTTTTTGAGACAGAGTCTTCCTATATGTTTCAGGCTGGCCTTGAGCTCACTTCGTACCCCACGGTGGTCTTGAACTCTTAATGATCCTTTTGCCTCAGCCTCCCAATTGGTACGATTAGAGGCATGTATCACCATCATTTTCAACTTGTCTTATTTCATTCATATTCTGTACACTTCCCCATCCACATTTAATATGAATTGTAAACATTTTATCTGTGAACTTTCTGTATTTTGCTTTTAAGATGAGTTATTTAAGAAGAGATTATGTAATATTTTTGGGCCTGGGAAATAGCTCAGTAGAATAAGCACTTGCTTAGTAAGCAAGCGCAAGGGCCTGAGTTCAATCCCCAGTTCCACACACACAAAAAAATAATAATAATATTTTTAATCATACCTTCAAAAATGCATTTAATGTACCAAATATCCAGGTAGTGCTGGGTGTTGTGGTACATGCTGGTAATCCTAGCTTTTGGGACACTGAGGCAGGAAGATCCCTGTGAGTAAGGCCAACCTGGGCTACCTAGTGAGTACAAGTCCAGCTGTACTTCATAGTGAGACTCTGTCTCAAAAAACAAATATCCAGTTAGTGTTTTGAAATTAGGAGTAGAGGAAAAGAAATAGTTCTGGTAGAAGTGTTTCCTGAAATTTGAATGTAAGAAAAATGGTAGCTAAATATGATATTTTATTAGGGAATAAATTTCCTATGTAGAAAACAATCATGTAGAAGATACATCTACCTATTTTTTCCTCCTTTTGGCCATCACAGGCCTAAGAGCATTGACAAAAGTTAAAGTATGCATTTATTTACACATAAATAAAGGGATCTTAAAAGAGTCATACCTTTCCAGGGCTGGTTGTAGTCTGAATTGTAGAAATTAATAGCTGGCTTTTTTTTAATAGTGGTTGCACATTTCATGGTGGTTGCATTTCTCCACAGGTCACTTTTCTGTGTAGCAATATCATTCATTTTGAAAGTTTACGAACTAGAACTGCAGAAGCCTTAAATCTGGATGCTGCATTATTTGAACTAATCAAGCGATGTCAGCAAATGTGTTCATTTGCGTCACAGTTTAACAGTTCGGTCTCTGAGTTAGAGCTTCGTTTATTACAGAGAGTGGTGAGTCCTGGTGGGAGTAAAGAGACTTGTGATTATCAGCCAGTTGTATACTTTCAGACAGTTTCATTTATTTGTGTAGCTTACACTAAAGTAATTATGAGTGATACAGAGATGAAATCTTTCTCTAAATTACTCTCATCCCTTAAATAAGTTATTTTTTTATTTAATTATAAATGGAAAGGTTAAAACAATTTTCAGGGTTATAATCAAAGTAATGTGGAAGTTTAGAAGAGAGGAGAAAGCAGCGATAGCAGTATTCACATGCACTGGAAATGCCGTAGTAGAGAAAAGGCTAGCTAAAGATGAATGCTGGAAAGGTGAATTGAGTCAAAAGGTCAACTTGTTAAGCTTAATGTTTGTATTTTGTGGGAAGGCTTTATGCTATGAATTAAAAAGCCCTAGTTTCACTTCAAAGAGATACTTAGAATGCATTTAGGGACCTGAATGTACAGACCTTTGTCATTCCAAATATGTTCTTCAGATCTTGAACTTTAAAATTTATACCCTATATGAATTATGTAGAAAGGTGGGGATATCTTCATCCGTATTTATAGAATATTAAAAATGTTAACTTTTATAGCCAATTCTAGACTGCAAAACTTTTTGTCAGTTTTCATTTGTAATAATATCTTGTGGTTTTTTAGATAATGATAGGCCTTACTGTTTCATCTCATGTAAAATTTAAAATCAAGTAAATGCTTGCCCTGTTTAGGACACCAATCTCGAACATCCTATTGGCAGTTCTGAATGGCTTCTGTCAGCACACAAACAGTTGACCCAGGATATGTCTACTCAGAGGACAATTCAGACTGAGAAAGAACAACAGATAGAAACAGTCTGTGAAACAATCCAGAATCTGGTTGATAATATAAAGACTGTGCTCACTGGTCATAATAGACAGCTAGGAGATGTCAAACATCTCCTAAAAGCAATGGCTAAGGTAAGACTTATTACTCATGGACACAGTTTCAGAAGTACAGGTAGTTTTGTGGAACAACTGTGACAAGTTTGTAAACCAAAACAGTTTTTCAGATTCACATCTTCCACCTTGTTTATAACTGAGTTAAATTGTGTTTTAATCAGACTTTTTAAAGCCAGCAGCACTATTCTAATTTTTGTCCAAAGAAACTTGAGTCTTACATTGAATCACAAACTATGGTATAGCTTATGATGGAACTGGAACTTGAGCTCTGTAGGCTGTTGACATTTCACCCTCTCTTCCTCCTTTTCATTTATACCTCATATTTTGCCTCCAAAGTGAATGGAAATACATTGTCTTCCCTCCAGTATTCTACATAGTATAGTTTAGTAAATAGCCTTCAGGGAAGGCTACTTAGTCATTACGTAACAGTAATCTAATTTTAGGATTTACTTTGACTTCCATTTATTGCTGCTGTAGAAAAGAACTTGAACTAAAATAAGCAGATTAAACATATTAACACTTGAAAAATGTATTATCTCTTCACTTGATCTTAGCCAAAAGGCCAAGAAGCTATAAAAAAAAATGTATTATCTCTTAACAGATGACCATCTTAAGAATAGTTACTGAGACAAAAACTACTTTCCTTAATCATAATGTATTGCTTATAGGATGAAGAAGCTGCACTGGCAGATGGTGAAGATATTCCCTATGAGAACAGTGTTAGGCAGTTCTTGGGTGAATATAAATCATGGCAAGACAATATACAGACAGTCCTGTTTACATTAGTCCAGGCTATGGGTCAGGTTCGAAGTCAAGAACATGTTGAAATGCTCCAGGAAATCACTCCTACCTTGAAAGAACTAAAAACACAAAGTCAGAGGTAAGAATGTCTTAGGGTTAAAGTTTATAAAATATAAGCAAAGCATCTGGTATTATTTCTTGACTTTAATCTCTTCAGCTTTGCTCATAGTTTTATAAGTAGCTAACGTAGTAAAACATTCCATAAACATTTCATAAATTTTTGTATTTCAGTATCTATAATAATTTAGTGGGTTTTGCATCACCGTTAGTCACCGATGCAACAAATGAGTGTTCGAGTCCAACGTCGTCTGCTACTTATCAGCCATCTTTTGCTGCAGGTAGGAAGAGAGACCTGGGCCTTGATCTGTTCACAGTCTGTATGTAGATGTTAATATGTTTAATTTTACATGAGAGTCTAGAAGGTTGATAGTCACATTTTCAGGGTTTTCTCAAACTGTGTCATGTCTAAGTCCACATATTTTTGTCCCAACTCTAAAATTTTATTTTACAACATAAAAGTATATGGCTGTTGAGCAATTTGGCAAAATCTTTGAGGAATTGCAGTTAAAGGTAAAAACCACTGTGCATTTGTTGCTTTACACTGCATGTATGTGTGTGGCCTTGTCACATTTAAATGTGTAACTTCCCCATCATTAAATCTTTCAAAGAAAAAAAAATCTTTCAGAAATGACCTACTAGCCAAATTTAATGATCTGTGTAACATATTAATCTTACATTGTTACATATCCAAGGTGTTCATGGTTTTTGATGATACAAGCAGATGAATGGTGAATCTCATCATACAAATTCGCATCTGAACACCTTACTGGTTTGGTTTTGTTTTGTTTTATGTTTTGGGAGAACCAGGGATTGAACTCAGGCCCTCACACTTGCCAGGCAAGTGCTTATTCCACTGAGCTATCTCCCCAGCCCCTGAACACCTTTCTGTTGAGGCTATTTTTTTTAGGAAGATAGTTGCTATGTCAAGGGATAAGGATTTTAAATGAAGTCCATCTTTTAGTATTTTGAGATATTTCCCACCAACACCATCTACTGCTTTCTTCTTTGTCTCCTTCTATTTTCTGTTTACATGTAAATTGAGCCACCAACTCTTTCCATAGCAGTCCGGAGCAACACAGGCCAGAAGACTCAGCCTGATGTCATGTCACAGAATGCTAAAAAGCTGATTCAGAAAAATCTTGCTACATCAGCAGATACTCCACCAAGCACCACCCCAGGAACTGGCAAGAATATTGCTTGTAGTCCTAAAAAGGCTGTCAGAGATCCTAAAACTGGGAAAGGTAATTAGTAAAACTCTAAAACTCAGGATGCTTTGAATGTTTGTATGAAATGATGGTTTGGCTTACATGTGTCTCGTTGTTTTATAGCTGTACAAGAGAGAAACTCATATGCAGTGAGTGTGTGGAAGAGAGTGAAAGCCAAGTTAGAGGGCCGAGATGTTGATCCAAACAGACGGATGTCAGTTGCTGAACAGGTGACTGCTTTTTAAAATTGAGATAAAGGAGCTGGGAAGATGGCTCAGTGGAATAAGCACTTCCCTGGCAAGCATAAGGCCCTGAGTTCAATCCCTGGTTAATTAATTAATTAATTAATTGAGCTAAACTTAGCTGGAATATTACAGGTTTAAGATTTCCTTCACTTGTTTGTTTAGTGGCTCACGAAGAAATAAGGAATTTATGCTTATTTTCAGGATTCAGAAGCTTTTTTAAAAATAGCTGGAGTTGTCAGTTATTACTCTATGCTGATCCTTCCCTGTTGTGTTAGTGTTCCTTTCCCCTTGTCCCTCTTAACTGAAAGTTAAGGTGTGACCGAAGACTATCAGAAGGTTTCACATGAAATGAGAAGGACATGTCCAGCGCAGGAATGGTATCTATAGAACCTCAGTCAGTGTCTGTCTAAAGTCATTACTCTGAAATTTTCTCATTAGTGTTATTAATATTGATAAATAAATTTGAAGGTTATTTCATTAGCTCCCAGCTCTTTAGAGAAATTTTAAGCTCACAGAATAGCTATAGGAATACCCATGTACTTTTTACCTTGATTTACCAGTTGTTTTCTATTTTCCCACATTTGTTTCATCATTTTGTGTGTGCATAGCATGAGTTCCAGGACATGCATGGGGTCATTGGGGTTCTCATCTCAGAATTCAAAAAAGCCTTTCCTAAGACACATATATTTTGTAATCTGTGGTATTAACTTCTCTTTCCAGACTAACAAATAACTTGTTCTTTGGGTAATTAACTTGGATAACTAGAACCTTTTTTTCTATTAGTATATGTTTATAATACATAATAATTACATTTATTGTGGGAATGGATAATTAGAAACTTCAGTAATTCATAAGCTGGTGTGGTAGTGCATGTCTGTAATTGCAGCACTTGGGCGACTGAGGCAGGAAGATTCACAAGTTTGAGGCCAACCTGAACTACACTGTTTCAAAAACTTTTTTTTTCAAAAACTGTTTTTAGATAATTTGTTTAACTTGTGTATGAACCATATCCTTTCAAGTTTCAATGGTTTTAAATACCATTCTGCCTATTTTTATAGGTTGACTATGTCATTAAGGAAGCGACTAATCTAGATAACTTGGCTCAGCTCTATGAAGGTTGGACAGCCTGGGTGTGAATGGCAAGACAGTAGATGAGTCTGGTTAAGTGAGGTCAGACACCACCAGAATCAACTCAGCCTCAGGCATCCAAAGCCACACCACAGTCGGTGGTGATGCAACTGGGGGCTTACTCTGAGGAAACCTAGGAAATCTCGGTGCACTAGGAAGTGAATCCTGCAGGACAGCTGCACTCAGGGATACGCCCAACACCATGGCCTGCAACCCCAAGGTCACGGGTAAAGAAAGCAAGCTCACCGCCTGAACACGGAGATTGTCTTTCTGCCACAGAACAGCTGCAAACGTGTCAGGAGGTTAGCTGAGAAAGAAATCGGGATGCCGCGGAACACAGAGTGATTTGGAACTCCATTCCACCTGACCCTGTGTGTACAATCCAGGAAAACAAACCCCGCTCAGAAACAGAAAAATGGGGCCGCGAAGAAATCACAGCCAAGGAAGATATGATGCATTTAGATTCTCGTAAAACACTTGTTGCTTGGCAACAGTACTGGTTGGGTTGACCAGTAAGTACAAAAAGGTTATGTGATACGAATTTCAGAAATGGACTGAAAATGGAGCGCTTTGTAACAGACGCACTACATTGGAAGAACTTCTGTAATGAAGGGGGAAAAAAAATCCCATCAGTCCCTGCTCCTCCCTGCCACTTCCCCTTTCCTTTTCACCTAATCTAGTGGATTAGCCATCTTTCAAATTCACTTTTATTTCAGTCCTTTTATTTCATATACTTCCAACCCAATGCTGTTAACTTGTATTTGGAGAAATAAACAGAAATTTCTCCAAAGCCACTGATAACATGGAAAACTCAAGGATTGTTAAAAGATTTTGAGGATCACATATAAAATGTAATTGATTGCTTGAGTCATTTCTGTGATTCTATCATGTGCAGTTTCCAGAATTGTCACTGTGCATTCAAAAGTAATGAATCTTACATTTGATTTAATGTACATTTCCCTTTTCTTATACTGTGCATTTTTTGGAAGTCATCAAATTTTCCCTCTTCTGTGATTGCTGTAGTTTTTTTCATAGAAAGTAGCTAATCTGATGTAATCTTTTACCTTTTTAAAAACCAGGATAGATTACCTATTAGAGTTTCACATTGTTGGCTACAGATTAACAATAAAGTGATGTTCTGGTGGAGGTAGAGTGGAATGTTTAATTCAGTTTTCTTATACTTTTAATTACAACTTTAATACTTTTAATTTACAACTTGTAAATTAAAAGTGCCTCAGTTTGCTTGGCCATCTCAGAACATGTACATGAAACATTAACAAGTACAAACCACCAATATCTTTTATTAAGTTCAGTTATTAGTCTGTGGAGTGCTTTACTTCTGTGTAATTTTAATAGCTTGCTGTTCATTGATACAATATGATGAATTCATGATCAAGGTTTCCGTAAATTTAGCGTTGCATTTCAGTATTGACTGAACAAATAGTTGATCTAAAATTAAAATGCAGACTAAAATCAGGCATCAACACAAAATAGGACAATTTAAATCAATTGTTTTTGTGTATTTTCCTTGCATTTTACAGATTATAGGGCAGTGGTAACTTTCTGCTTGCCAGTCTTTACAAACAAACTTGAAAGGTATTAAGAAAAAATTCCACATAGCTCTGGTCCTTTTCTGTATTTTGATTTCACATTAATTATAATCTTTATCCAGGAGAAGGTAAATTTCAGTACCAGTGCTTAAAGAAGTATTGATAGAAAGATAGTATTTTTTAATACCCATGTGTCAATTTTATTTCATTGATTTTGAATCTTACTTTCACGGTCAGAACAACCTTGCTGAAATAATGTCATATTACATATTGCATGCTGCTTTATTTCCTAGAGGCTTTGAGAACTCCTATACTCACTACTTGATCATCTCTGCTTTTTCAAGTTTAGTCTTTTCAGCAACATTCTTGTCACCAGGAAACACATACCATAATGATAAAACCAGTCCACATTTGTCCCTAAAGATAGTATTTGAAATTGTTTCCACTTGGGTAAAGAGGTTAAAAAAAAAAAAGTTGAATTTTATTGCATTTATGTTTCAGGCTTCAGAAGTACATGGAACCTTACTCAAGCAAAAAAGCCAAGATAGCTTTATTTCATAAAGCATGTGCCTCTGATAAGTTATTTATCACTTTTATTTTAAAACACTCCCTCAAAGACTAGTGTATGCTGTATATTAGGTTGTAGGGTAGATATGAGTAGCTGATAACTTTAAAGCTGGCTCTCACTGACTGGACAAGATTGTAGTCTATAGAATTTGGCTTCCTCTGTGATGTCATTCTGCAAGTAGCCCTGCCAATTTGAATCTTGAAGACAGGGCCATATTTTGGTTATTTTCTTGGAAAATAAAGTCAGTGCTATAGTTTTGAAGTCATATATATATATATATGGTTTTGGGGGGTTTTTTTTTGTTTGTTTTGTGTTTTTTTTGTCAAATACCTGTGGAGAACCAGGGGTCTTGTCTGTCTCTGTCTCTTTCTCTCATTTAGGGGGTACAGCATAAACAACAAACAACCTCTTCAAAGTACCCTTGAAATTTGAAGTTTATCTTAAGTGTTTTGTTGTTGCCTGATTTTTAGTTGGTTTTTCTACAATACTGTTGCAGCCTAGTATTTTATGGAGCTTTCTCTTTTACTGTTTCTTTGGTATGTCTTGCAATTTCTGTTTCTGGCCATGAGTTCATAACATAGTTTGTGGAGTGATTAAGATTCTTTTGTGTCTCACCCTTGTAGTGAGATTACTGTGTAAGAACTGATAATCAGGCTCTTAAACTGCTGCTTGAGAGCTCATATGCCAGGTTCAGGGTAAGGGTCTGTAATACAGAGAAAAGCTTCCATCACTTCTGCCCTTAACACTTGCCTCCATTACCTAGGTTTAGTAAGTAGTTTTCTTAATTTTGCCCAATGTTTGGTTGTTAACTGCATTATATTTTGTTTTTTTTAAACTGTGGTTGTTCTGATGTGTGAAATTTAAGGAAAGAGCCATTTTAAAAATGCCAAGCAGGGCAATGCCAGTACAGCCAAATATTAGAGTTGATGTGCAATCTTAGGTCCTTTTTAATCTGGGGTATCATAGGCAGTACTTTAAATCAAAAAGTCTTCCTGGCCTATTTTCCTCCACATTTTTGTAACTTACTCTGGGGGCTTGTTTGGCAGTACTAAAATCAAAGGAGCTGGTTCTTCTTTTCTTCATATTCTTTTCATATTAATGAAAGCACCTACAGCTAGCCTGTTAATCCTATTTGTATACATCAGATATCAGTAAATGCATCACTATGAGCACATTTGAGCATCTGTGTTTTACATAAATTTATATGAGTAGGAAATCCAATGTTCCATTTCATATCCTATTGAACTTATAAAATGCCAGTTACTTAGAATTAGGACCCCTCGCGCACCCACGCATACATGTGTGCACACAAATCACGAAGGTAGAAATATTAACGCAAGGGTTATCAAAAGGAGGTGGATTTTGCTTCAGTTATTTGGATAAAACTAATTCTTCCTATGGGGAAATACTAGCAAGCATCCCAAAATTTTCTAAATATGAGGGAGAAAAAAATTCACTGTATTATGAAACCCTCAGGGTTGCTGCATTTTTCCTG